CGTATATGATCTACATGTTACCCAAATTATGCTGGAAGGTTTATGAAACAACTTTTTATATGTCCACCCAAAAAAAAGAAAGAAAGCTCTCCATCAATATGATACTTCAACACATACTAGTCTTTGATCTAATTGTCTCTATTTGGATAGAGGATGTCTCATGTTCGACTCAAATGAATGCGAGAACGAAACATATGTGCAGTGAATTCAATACCTAAATGTGACTAACCTAATCATTCATGGCATGTTTACTAATCCGGAATTGGAATTCTCATCCAGAATTGAATTCCGCCTATGAAGAATTCCTGCGTTTACTTCACATCAAGGAATTGAAAAGTAAGCGGGGCCCACACAAAATTAGGAATTGAATTCCTAATTTTGGAGGAATTCAATTCCGGAATTGGAGGTGGTATTCTAATTCCTGGAGAATTCACCCATTAGGAATTCATCTTTTTTACCCATTATATCCTCACACAATTTTCAAAATTCCAAATATGCCATCTACTTTAACCAAAAAATGTGGACATTTAAGTAATTAGTACCACTCCTACCCCAATTCCATATGGTTTAGTAAACAACTTCAATAGGAATTCGGAATCTAACTCACCTCAATCCATATGGTTTAGTAAACAACTTCATTAGGAATCCGGAATCTAATTCTCCTCAATCCAACTCCTCCTCAATTCAATCCATCCTCAATTCAATTCCCCCTAATTCAATTCCGGATTAGTAAACATGCCATCAATGTGATAGCATAATTCCTTGAAGTGAGTCTCCTAATTAATCAAGGAGATTTATTTAAGGAATTTACTTTCCTATTTTATATAGTTGTCAAATCATTGTATAATTAGGAGATACTTTCCTAATCCTTTACTGTATCTAATTCCTTGTAAAACACTCATGTAAACTTTTATATATACCTCCTTATGGAGAAGAATAAAACTCAACCTAACATACTAGTCTTTGATCTAATTGTCTCTATTTGTCTCATGTTCGACTCAAATGAATGCGAGAACGAAACATATGTGCAGTGAATTCAATACCTAAATGTGACTAAACTAATCATTCAATGTGACAGCATAACTTTTATTCCAGATGAATTATCATGTTAAAAATAGCTTTGTAAATATAAATATATATTACTTCAATAAACGAGTATTACATATAGCTAACAAAATTATAACTCAAATCATCATTAATCTATATATATAAAGCAAAAGGTAGATAATGGTGAAACATTCAAAATACCAGAAAATGCCCTTGGTTAATACAAACATTAATAATTGAAATTATTAATTAAATGAGGATAATATGGTAAATTCACACTTTTTCATTTAAAATAAAATAAAATAAAAATAAAAATCAGATAATGGATCCTATTTTTATGGAACACAACTACCCATTATCTTTTTTAATTCTAAAATAAATTTTAAAATTTTTAAAAAAAACCTCTCTCAGGCGCGAGAGTGTATGCGGAGAGGCTAGTAAATATTAAAGCAAGGTTCTATTTTTGGAAGACCTTTTCTATTGAAAGGAGCGATAATATACTAAACTCACACATACTATACGGATGCTACTACTCGAACCCAGAACCTTTTCTGATGGAGCAATTACTCCAAACCACTACACTAATATAGGGCTGGGTATTCAGACCGATAACTTCGGTCAAACCGCCCAAACCAAACCGATGGTTTGGGTTGGTTTGGTTTTTTTTCAATTTTTTTTGGTCACCGGTTTGAACCCAAATCAAACCAAAATATATGGTTCCGTGTACAGTTTGTAATATCCAAAACAACGGTTTAACCAAACCAAACCGGTAGTATTTAAAAAAATATTTTATATGATATTATTATAAGAAATATATATATAATACATAGTTTAAAGAAGTAAAAATAATAATAATAAAAAATTGGCTTTTGTTGTTGGGCATGCCAACACACATGCCTAACTGAATTTTTTTTTTAAAATCCCCAACACATGCATGCATGTCTATCTTGTCTCCATTAATCCCTTTCTCTTTATTTTTTTTTTCTCCTTTTTCTTACGTATGTCTTCACTCCCTCTCTTTTTTTTTTTCCTTAATCTTCTCTCTTCTTTTTCTCTTCTTTTTCTTCTTCTTCTCTGTCTCTCCCCTTTTTTTTTTTCTTCTTCTCCTCTCCATCTCTCCCTCTCTCCATCGATTTTATTTCCTCTCTCTCTCTCTCTCTCTCTCTCTCTCTCTCTCTCAGAAAGCCAAAAAATCCAAACCAAACCAAACCAACCAACTAAGTCCGGTTAACCGAAGTGGTCGGTTTTCATCAATTATGGTTTGGTTTCAGTTTCCAAAATAGCCAAACCGAGACCTATGATTCGGTATTTGGATTGAACCCAAAACCGAACCAACCCAAATCGAACCCACCACTACATTGATATGTCCTTTGCACGCAAGTTTCCTTTTAGAAAAAGGGATTACAAATCTAATAGATTAGTTAACAAGCAAATCTGGTTGCTTTCCCAATTTATCTCCATCATGCACACTCACTTTTTTAATGTGTTTTTAATTAATTAGCAAAAGAAAATACAAGCTCTAAAACGAATAGTTTAACACCCAACAGCCAATTTACCTGTACCACATTGCCCTCATTGATTGAGCGGATAAAAACGATTATTAACGAAGGACAACCGCTGGTCTCAAGTAGCCTGTTGGATTTGTGGTCCAAGTCCAAAACCCATCAGGTCCCTGGTTCGAGACTGGCAGAGAGAGAGAAGAAGAGAGAGGTTACAAAAAATTATGAGGTATTCTAAAATACCTCTGTTTTTATATCACTTTTTTTAAAAATAAATAAAATAAATTTAAAGTACTTGAATTTACATGAATCAATTAAATTCACAAGGTTGTGAGCTCAAGATCTCACATTTATGAAAATAATCTTTTTAAAATGATTCCTTATTTTTCTTTACACAATGAAAGAAATACGATTAATGAGTGAGATCCAGAAACAACTTAATACAATATTTATATATTATCATGTACTTAAATAATTTCCTGATTGGACAATTAATAATACAGAAATTTTAAGTGATTGATTGTATAATTATTAGTCTTGAATCCAAAATGTTACATTGTATCAAATTAATTTAATAGGTTCTACCACCAGTACTCCTTCTACCTTGTTGATTTTGTGTTACATCTAAAGCTTGGGGAGGCTAGGCGATGGGTGAGTAGAGAGTTTTCCAATTTTTTCCCTCTCCTTTTTCTTGATCTAGTGTGGGCTTCTACTCAACAGGTGAACCGAGTCGTGTCATGTTATGCCCTCAAAACGACTAGACCATGTAAGAGCAATTCCAAAAGACTCGTCAAATGCTTTTGGATTATTGATGTCATGAATGAGATGTTCTAAAGAATTAAATATATTAACTTAAAAGGTTCTATCACCAGTACTCCTTGTAACTTGTTGGCTTTAAATTACATTTAGAGCTCAACAGGTCTTGGGTTCGACTGGTATCGAATCAATGTCAAAAATACCAAAAATGTTACAATAAATGAGGTATTCTAAAATACCTCTTCTTTTTTTTCCCTAATTTATTGGAATTTTTCCCCGTTCCTTTTTCCTGTTTTAGAAGTTCATAGGTCTTGGATTTGATTGGGAACGAATCCAAGTAAAAGTACCAGAAATGTTACAGTATATGACATTGTATAAATAAAATAACATAAAAACTTTCAACGCTGGACTCTGGTGGCCTAGTGGATTTGTAATATGTTCAAATCCAACAGGTCATCAGTTCGTAACTAGCACACCTCGAATCCAAACCCTCCATCCAATTCTGAACAAAATGAGGTATTTAAAAATACCTCTGTTTTTATTTATTTAAAAAAAAAATTGGCCGGACCTCTGTTTTTATTTGTTAACTAATTGAATTGAATTGCATCCCAAATGCCCAAAAATCTTGAACCATTCACAGGCAGGAAGAAGCCAAACATCTTTCTTTTTTCTTTTTCTTTTTTCAAAAATAGGAAGGGGGAAAATTCACACATGCGGTACTGTAAGGGTTTGAACTCAAGACCACTTAAAAGCACACCAGACTAAAAGCCTAAGCTATTCCAATTAACGCCCCATTCATTCTTTTCTTTTTATGCAATGAAAGATAATTGATGCCAAGATCCATAAACAAAGTTCATTGCAACATTTATATGATATTATGTAATTAAATCATTGCTTGATTGAACTTATTAACAATATTTTAAAATGATTGATTGTGTAAGTATCTATCTAGGCATTTTTAGGTCAATTAGTAAAGTATTCAAATTACATTTATCTTATATATAGTGTTTTTATAGCTTTTCTTTAACTAATCAATATACTTTTACCAACAAATCTAGGAAGAGCCAACCAATATTAACTAAGCTAGAGTCCTCTTGGGCGAAAATCATGTGCAAACTATAAATATAATAACTTGACAAGGTTTACTGTCGGATTCCTAAATTTGTTGACTTTGTGATATAACTAAAAGTCAGCATGTCTAATGATCGAGTACCGATCAAATTCACGTATTACCAGAACAAATAAATGAGGTATTTTAAAATACCTCTCTTTTTACCTAATCATTTTTAGATATCGCTGGAGATCAATTCCTTTATCGATTAATTATTGAGTTTTTGGATTTTTAAGTGATTTTATGGAGAAGCACCTCCCATGTGCTTCTCCCAGAATCACTTAAAATCACCAAGAGTAATTATATGAAGAAGCACCTAGCACATGGGAGGTGCTTCTCCCCAAAAAATGATTCTGGCCTATTTAGATCACTCCCAAACTAGCCCTTAATCAATATAGAAACTTGATTCGTTCAAAACTTTCATGTTTTTCATTTAACTTTCATTATTTCTATCAAAATTTTACTGAAATCGTTATTTTATTGATTCTATATCATTATATATGTTAGTCTCTTTCCAGCTTGTTGGTTTGCAGACACCAAATTTGGGCATAGAATCATTAGCAAATGCATGCACAAAGAGAAGCCATGAAAGAATCTGACCTACCAATTCTCCACTTCTCTATTTACAATGAGGGCACAGTTCAAAATAACACCAAATAAGTACAGAGCTACTTGCTAGAAGAAGAAGACGAAATAGAAATATGTGGCATAAATTAATCAATCAATTAACTAATGCTTTTCAGTAGGTGAATATTGCATCAGTTCTCTCCTGTTAGACAAGGCAAAATCACAGCTTGTTATCAGAGCATGTGATTTTTGCATCTGTTGTCTCTTATCTGGTAAGGCATGCATAGTATCCACTTCGGGCACCAAAAGCTATCTGCACTGCATTTGTGGTATAGCTCAAAGTTTTGATGGTTCCAGCAAGGGTTCCCACTTCCTATGCCTCAAGGAACCCCTTATCTTCCAAGTAAGAAATCACTTCTTCGGCCATCTCACATGGGGAAGCACACACTCCTCCTTCATGTGTTAATACTATCTGAAGGCAGATAAACGATGACGAAACAATGAGACCTTTACTTTTCACTGAATAGATCAGTAACATCAAGCAACGACAGGCAAAAGTAATATGTAACAATAGGTGAGTTACGACTACGCGCAACTGCAGCTACTCTTACATGTGACCCCGGTATACATCAGATCATCTTTCATTCCATTCTGCACTATATTCCTATAAGCTAATCAAACAAATGCAAATGAAATGGTGTGTGGTGCAATTTAAAGTAACTAATATATCTCAAATTTAAATTTCAAAAAATCCTACATCATGTTCTTGATCAATAAGACAGACCAATTCTCCCAACCCCTACAGTGACATCACAAGACCAATACAAGGCACTGGCCTTTTACAGGGTTGTTTTCTAGTGCAAGAGTAAATTGGTTCAAATTTATTGGTAACTAACAGGATTAACTACTTTATTTTTAAGTTTCTATGCCCTAGCTTCATGACACAATGTATATTCCTCTTTATCAAGAGAAGCATCTATGTATATATGATACCTGCAGTAACTAAAAGATGTATTCTGATCTTCTCTAGATAGTATACATACCTCACAATTTAATGGTGGCTCATATGGATCATCAATCCCAGTAAAACCTGCAATTTCAAATTCACATAGTATAAGTAACAACCAACATTCTGGACTAGAAAGCTCAACACACAGAGAGAGAGAGAGAGAGAGAGAGAGGCAGAGGCGTCTGGACTAGAAACTAACAAAGCACAAGACAATATTTCAACAATAAATCCTGGTTGCAATGCTGAAGGAAAATATTCGGTGCTTTTGAATATGGAGTGGGATTGGCATATATACATTCCAAAATTTGCAACATACAAACTTTCCAGGATTTAATTAGTAATCAGAGTTGCAATTAAGGGTCCATATACGATATGCCAAAATATACCAAGTTCAACAAATATACATGTCAAAGAACTAAGGAAGAAGATCCACACAGACACGCCACATCCACGGGTTTTGCATACAACAGAAGATCGAAAATTAAGAATTTTGCAAGTGATTTGTTTAGACAAAATTTAAAACAACCATGATCAGATCGCATTGAAAAAAAGACTATAAAGATTTTAGGAGCAATAGTACCATTAAGCAGTCCGTCGAAAGTCAAAATACAAAGTAAATTCAGTAACCAAAAACCAAAATAGTAGTTTGCAGATACCTTTGATCTTGCCTGCACGTGCAAGCTTATATAGGCCCTTCGAGTCTCTAGCCTCACAAACTTGGAGTGGGACGTCCATGAACACCTTCCATAATACAAGTTCTCTTTATAGCTAATTTCTTTTTTCAGGAAGTGTTTTAAATATTTACACAAAGCTCAGAATTGAAACTTGAAAAGCAAGCAGTCATAAAGATTGAGAAGCAATGGAGTACCAACCTCAATAAAATCTCCAGCAGGTAGCATTGCACGACAGGCATCGCGATCCCTTCTGTAAGGAGAAATCAGGCTAGCAATACAGATAACTCCAGCATCTGCAAACAATTTCGCCACCTCCCCTGAATACAAAAACAAAGCCAATGCTTTCATGAATATATATAATGAAGCAGAACACCGTTATTAATCACCGAAAGTGATTAATCCAAGGCAAACACGTACCAATCCTCCGAATGTTCTCTGCACGATCTTCTGCTTTAAAACTAAGGTCACGGTTCAAGCCATGCCTGACATTGTCTCCATCAAGAATGTATGACAGCTTTCCCCTGCGGTACAAACCCCCACCCAAAGCACAAGCCACAGTGCTCTTCCCTAACAAACGAAATAAATAATATATAACTAATCAATCAGTAATTTTCTCTTGGCACATAGCCTGATGCAACATCCATAACCCATAGATGTTGTCAGGCTATGAATGAGAACCGTTGATCCAAATGAAATCATATCAGAATTCACAGTTTAACAAGATAAAACATGTCACATATCTCTGACATAAATAATTTCAACCACCAAAAATTAGCATGAAGAGTTTATATATAGATACAACTTTTAATTAAAAAAATATATATATTTTTTATTTTTATTTTTTTATAAAAAAAAAAACCAACCTGAGCCGCTGAGACCAGTGATCCATATCACGCATCCTTTTTGTTTAAGTAGCTTTTGCCTGTCATTTTTGTTCAAGGAGCACTCATGCCACAGAATGTTGGTTGAATTTCCAACCGAAGACAGCAAGCTCGCATTTTTATCTATTTACCAAAAATTCAAAAAAAAAAACCCAATTAAAAAAAATTTCCAAAAACCCAGAGCCAAAGCTACATGCAAAATTACAAATGGGTGATGGGCAATTCAGAAAACAGCTAAGTACCTGCATTCCCAGCGTGCCCATTCAAGCTCGCCGTCCTGGAGCCCTCCATAGCCTTCACTAGAAACAAACCCCTGGTTTTCAAGCTATTTACAGAAGTGCCACCGGACAAGTTCCCCAATGACAGCTGCGAAAACGACGGTAACGGCGACGAAGACGTCGTTTCAAGCCCGACACCGAGTCCCGGCGAGGCCGTCCATTGCAGTGGGTTGGCTTGCATATCTCGTAAAATCATCAAATCCACTCCCCCCAATTTTCAAATTAAACGAAAAGGGAAATTGGTTTGGAAGAAATTCAGAAATATATATACTGAATATTTATAAATAATTTTGGGGATATTTGGAGGGAGACGTGGGAAAATGGAAAGTTGTGTGTGGCGGTGAGAGAGTTCAGGGTTGTCGGCAGGTAACGAGGGGGATGGCTCCTTCGTTATTAATAAAAATGCGACCGTTAGCTTTGTTTTTAAATACCACTGTAGTAGATTCCAACGATGCCCGTGACAGCGACGTCGTTTAATTTGCGATGATTCCTGTGAATCTAGACTAATTTCGCGCTTTGTGGTGGGCTGAAATTGGAGGTTTTTTCTTTCTTTCTCTTCTTTCTCCAGATTTATTTTAATTACTCTTTAATTTATTGTATTATATGTTTATTTTTTTTCTTAGAAAGCAAGTTACAAATCTTCAGTAATCAGATTTGAATCCTAAACTCTGATTCATAAATTTAGATTAATAAGTCGCATTTAAAAGAAAAACAGTAGAGTCATATGATTTAACTCATATTTTTTTCGTAAACTTTATAACAATTATCTGAATAAACAAAAAATATATATATATTGGTCCAGCATCACACACACGGGTGTCATAAGAACTTGAACTCATGATTACTTAGGAGCACACCGAAACCCTGAATCAATCCAGTTAACACCTCATTTCATACTCAATCTTGCTAAAAGAAAAATTACACTAGAATTAACCAATTTATGCCAACAAAATAACATCTTAATGTGTCCATATGTCACCAACATTTGGCCTAGTTCAAATCTCATTCACCAGAGGTTATTGCGCCGTCCAATTAGAAAAAATGCCCATATTCCTCACATGCACCCAATCTCTTTTTCTGCTATAAAGAATTAACTTGCTTTTTTCATGTTTTTATAGGCATGAGTTAAATAATTGATTGGTCCTACAAGCCCACACTTCAACTTAAATTTTTTATTCAAAAGAAAAGAGGGATGTCGATAGGTGCCAGAAAAGTGATCTATCAATCTACGTTATAATAATGGAATTGTATATACGAGTTAGGTTAGTTGATTAAGTTAATATGTCCGTCTTTTCTCACTTGAGTTCAATTTTCTCTCCTTATGAATTATAATCGGTATGAATATCTCATTGTGAAAAAAGACTGGCCAATTTGGTCTTCTTTTTATCCCCATTTTAAGTAAAATCTCAATCCTCACAACCAACATAAGTTTTTGCTCTTCAATCCAATGTTTCAACATGGCAGGTTGGTATAGGATGATTCCCTCTACTTATCTGGAATTAGGGTTTGATTTGATGGTTGGGTGGAGGGGCCATTTACCTTCTTCCCAATTCGTAAAGCCATTTCAGACATTGACATATCGTTGGAAGCTTTAGCACTATGCAGTTAGTTGGCTACACTTGATATAACCTAATTGGTTGATTCAAAATATACCTTTTATGTCAACATAAAAAGCACCATCTACCTCAGCATACACTTCATTGAGGTGCTTGTGCTTCCACCTACCCCACAATGATTTGAATTGAGAGCTATGGAGGAGGAGGGTATCTGGCTGGATGTATTTAGGTTTAGGGTTCAAATGTGGGAGATTGCAATTAATAATTTGGCTTGGTGAGTTGTGACACACTGTCTTTTTAAAGATAGAAGGGCTCAAAATATATGCATGATTTTCACGCAATGGAGGAAAAGTGATTCATTGAATTTCTGTGTCATTCCATTACACCCTTGAGTCATCATTGCATTCATGTGGATCCATGATGGAAAAGCAAATAATGGATCTCTTGTACATCCAAATCAACAGCAACCAAGAGAATATTAGAATCATGGGCTATCATCATTATTATAAGTGTAACTCAAGCACAAAGGAGTGAAAATGTTGGGTCACATATCTTGAAGTAATTTTAAGGAAGATGTTTTGCAAGATATCTAATGTGTTAGTATATTTTATTGACGACAATTATATCAACACATTATCTATAATAAGACTATCTAATATATTATGATAGGGAATTATAATAAAACTGCATATTAACAAGTAAGATAATGTGAAAAAGTAGTGATATATCCGTAAACTTTTTTCTTCTTAGGGGTAAGATGAAGTTGGCATGCCACTTTGCTTAATGGCACTTGGTTCCTTCACTGCCTTAGCCTCTTTGAGATATTCTATTGAACTTCTTATTCCCAGTGACAGCTCAAGGAAACTATAAAAAGAACATTGCGCAATTTCATGTGTAACAATTATGAAGAGTGGGGAAAATTGCATTCACGATTCCTAATGTTGAACTTCTTAATTTTTTTTATAAAAATACATGCACTTAATTTTAAGAGTGCTAATTTCTCAGAATTTTTATTGTGTTTTTCATTTAAAATTCTAAGGTTTATGAGTAGCACAATAAAAATAGACCTCTGGGCCTGGAGTCACACTAATAAACAGTTTGGGCTGTCTTTTTCTTGGATTTTATGTTTTAATATTTTAACAATTGAGGGCTAATTTTTCTTGGGCTTTAGTTTTAAAATTTAAATTGAGATATATGGGCCTAAGCATCTAGCCCCATCCCATTCTCATACTTTCCCTCGTCTTCTTCGTCTTGCAAAGCAAGCTTTTGGAGCGAAAGAATGTTGGCCATGGCGAACACCGAATCCTCCGGCGATACTGCTCGGCCCTGGCAGTCTTACAACACTGCTTACACCAATGCTAAAGCCGGTACGTATTATCACCCAAAACACAAATCAGAATCTCTTACAGAAAAATAAATCCTAGGGTTCATGATCTTGAACTACGAATTTCAATCAAATTTTCATACCTGAATGTTCATTGAGTAAGCCTTATTTCGTTTTATTGCAAAATTTTGAAATTTAAGGCATGCAAGGCGTTGACAAAGAGAAAGTTCAGAGGATAGTGTATGAAATGAGTAAAGGGTCGCAGTACTTCAAAAACGAGGAACGTAAAGAGGCCTTCATTAGAGAAAAGATAGAAAACATGCGAGCTCGATGTGCGAAGCTAAAACCAGCAGATTTGGCTCACTATCAAACGGTAAACTTACTACCCGCCATTTCAATTTGTGCTACTTTTTCTGGGTTTTAAAAAAAAGTTGTGAGCTTGATTCTAATGGTGTCTTCTTCTAGGTCGCTGATAAGAGAATCTTAGAGCTTGAAGCCACGCGTGACCTTTCAAGGATTTGGGTACATGTGGATATGGATGCTTTCTATGCAGCTGTTGAGACTTTAAGCGACCCTTCGTTGAAAGGGAAGCCCATGGCCGTTGGTGGCATGTCTATGATCTCCACTGCTAATTATGAGGTGCAATTACTTCACTTACAATTGTTATTAACCTGGGTTGACATGGAATTCCTTACTTGAAATTTGTTTGTCCGGCATTTGTCTTATGAATGTATATGGGGAATGTGATCCCGCCACTTTGTAGGCACGGAGGTTTGGGGTTCGTGCTGCGATGCCTGGTTTCATTGCTCGTAAATTATGTCCTGAGTTAATTTTTGTTCCCACGGATTTCAAGAAGTATACTTATTACAGTGATTTAACTAGAAAAGGTTAGGTGGTGTTTTCTAAGGGCATATTTTTACTGTATATTCTTTATGCTAGGTGCTAATCTTTAGTTGTGACTTATCATTTATGTTAGTGTTCGAGAAGTATGATCCTAACTTCGTGGCTGCTAGTTTAGATGAAGCATACCTTGATGTAACTGAGGTTTGCAAAGAACGGGGCACTACTGGCGAAGAAGTAAGTGTATATAATATTAGTTGGCTCAACATATGAATATCACATTTCTTATGCCTTTGTTTAGCATCGACATTCCCCTTTTCTTTGACTTGTTATGTTAAAATTCTTGTTTTCTAACCTTTTCATTCTCAAAGATTGCCAAAGAACTAAGAGCTGGTGTTCATGATGAGACTGGTGGTCTTACATGCAGTGCTGGAGTGGCACCAAACCGTCTACTTGCTAAGGTGTTCCTACAGATTCCATGCATAAATATGTTACCTGGATATGAGTTTAAGTATTCTCAATATGTTACACTGCTTTTATTCATTTACTGATAAAATCTATGTGGATGCTATCTTATGCTGTCTACTTGACGATAAGATATCTAAATAAATAAAAATTCCTAGTATACATGCCAATGTATGTATGCATGCATGAAAAAAAAAGCTGAACTTTCTTCTTGTTTTGGTAGTTATCTAATGGTAACTTAGGTTTGCAAAGAAAGAGGTTACTGGCAATTGGCAATTTAGCAAGGGCATATAATAATTAATTGCCTCAACCAATATTGTATTTAGCATTGACATTACCCTTAAAACTTTTTTATGTTTAGGATTAGATAATAACTCTACAATTTGATATGGATGGTTTTCTTGAGAACATCTCACATGTGTGTGTCTGTGTATACACATAAGGTTGACTCGCATCTTCTTATCTTATTCCTCAGGTTTGCTCAGATATAAATAAACCAAATGGACAGTTTATTTTACCAAATGACCGGATGGCAGTCATGACATTTATATCCTCACTTCCTATCCGAAAGGTTTGTCCAAACATTTATACAGTTGTTGCAGCATAAATTGTACCACTGGTGTCTTTGCTGGTGCAACTGTGATTACAAAATAATATTCTTTTATGTGGTGATGAAGTCATTATTACGGTACATACTGATGAAGATAAAGAATGGTAAACTCTTATACAGATTGGGGGCATTGGTAAAGTCACTGAACTTATCTTGAGGGATGCTCTTGGAATTAGTACATGTGAGGAGATTCTGCAAAAGAGCAGCTATATTTGTGCACTATTTTCTCATTCTTCAGCAGGTTAGCACTCTTGTCATTCCCCTATGCTGTTTATTGCTTGCTTCATCATTATAAATAAACTTTTTTACAGGCAGATCATGTGATTAGATACACCACCTGCTTCTTTTAAATCTACTTGTCCTATCATGTATTTCAGATTTTTTCCTCTCTGTGGGACTTGCAATAGGGGGAACAGATACTCCTCAAGTTAGATCAAGAAGAAGCATAAGTAATGAGAGAACATTTTCGGCTACAGGGGATGAAGCATTTCTTTTTTATAAATTGGGTATGCAGTCCTATTTTATATTAATTAGGGTTTGTTTCCTTATATAATTGGAGGTTGTCCATAGATGTAATTAACAATTGAACACTTGATCAGTTGGAAGTATGAGCCCCATATTTTGAAAATCAAAATAAGTTGATTATATGAAAGTTTGTGCTTAAAGAATCCAAGGCCTACATTTGTATCCTCCACAAGGAATGTGGCATCTGGTGATTTAATCCCAAGCTATCATCATTTCCCCAGAGTATATCATCAAATCTGTGGTTTTGAAATTAGCGTAAGTATTTAAGTCTCGGGTTGAGTCTACCCAGCCTGAGTCCTATAATATGTCTGGATGCATGTACCGAACTGTTACTTCTAAATGTAGATTTTCATTATTTGGGAACTTTGAAGCTTATATGGATAACATTTTATCTTAAATTTTACGTAAAATTAATTGAAAGTCCTGTTCATCTAGTGCCTCATGTATATTTTATGCTTGCAGCGGATATTGCAGAGATGCTATCTACTGACTTGCAAAAGGAGGGTCTTCGTGGGCGAACATTGACTCTTAAACTAAAGACTGCATCTTTTGAGGTACTTGAGAGCATTCCTCCGTAGCTATATGACTATCTTAGTTTATGTGACTCCTTTTTTCGGTTTTAGATGCCATCAGTATTTCATTCTGTAAATTTTAAAATGCCTTACAATCTACAGGTTCGCACCAGAGCTGTGACTTCGCAAAAAAATATATGCTCAACTGAGGATATTATGAAGCATGCTTCAAAGTTGCTTAAGGCTGAACTTCCTGTTTCCTTAAGGCTGATAGGTTGAGTGTGTACATTATATACAAGCATTATACAAATATGAATAGCATATGTTATATCGTATACTTAGTTGATCTAATGAGGACCCAACTTAAGGACCTTAAAGACGGATAAGATGCATCTCATTCACTCATCCATGGCATCTCAGGCCTCAACGAACCATATCCAGTATAATGAGTGAGATGTAAATCTGATCCATAGTTTGACAACTCAATGTCAGACTGTCAATCAAGACCACACATTTAAACATGATTTTACATGATCAGTAGTTGTAATTCTCTCTGACAACATAACATGTCAAATTTTCTGGCAAGAGACCTTACCAAACATATAATAATATATATGTCGTATAAATGTCAGAAAGGGAATTTTAAATAAAAGCTCAATCTTGCTCCCCATATGTCTTAGAGTTAACAGAGCTTTATTTTAATCTACTATCAGGCCTCCGGTTGTCTCACTTTGATGAAGAAAAGGTTGGTGCTCCTTCTGATCCCACACAAAAAACTCTCACTGACTATATGCTATCAGGAGATGCTTTAAGGAAAAATATGGGCGATCAAAGCTCCTTGGACTTGGATTCTACTGATCACTGCATGATGCATGGTGAAGAAACTTGCTTATCTAAAGACGGACATCAAACATCTTCTTGTGATTATAGAGATCCTCTTGACGAAAATCATTTATCAAATTTAGATGACAGTAAGTCTACTTTGGGCAATTTTGAAGAAAAGGAAGAAATTTATGAATCGACGAGCAATGCAAATGCAGAAAAGGTATGTGTGGTGAAAGGCATGCTGATGGTTATTCTTCTTGACACTGAAAAAGTCATCACTCAGCTCGATAAATATTGAAAAAGCATTTGTAGTTTCTAGAAGTTGCATAACTCACTAGATTTTCATGCTATTTTTCATATGCCCAGATGAATGCCAGTGACAATCAGAATGAGGACAATGTACAGGATGTAGTGCCACCATTGTTGGGACCAGGTTATTCTTTTCCTGGCCATTTTGAGGGCAGTAGCCTAGATAGAGTGAATAGTGTAACTAAAACCCTTGGGGATGTGGCAAGTTCTTCAATCAGTCAGAAAGAGTCCCTTTTGTGGGTGAATGACTACAAGTGTTCGATCTGCGGGATAGAAATGCCACCAAGCTTTGTTGAGGAAAGGCAAGAGCACTTTGATTTTCATCTTGCTGAGAAGCTTCAGAAAGAGGAATCTGGGACTGACTTCAAAACTTGTGTTCTGAAGAAAAGGTATACTATATTTTCATTGAGTTTCCAACGTGCCTCTCTTCATATCCTTTGTTTTTCCTCTTGAGGTAGTTTGTTTTGTCTGATTGATTTGGCTTGAAACTCTGTCAGAAGTGTCCCTAAGGATCACATTGCGAGCCAAAGGAAGCACAAAAAACAGAAGCCGTCTCCAAAAGAAGGCAAACACATACCTATTGATGTGTTCTTTGTTAAGAGCAATCAAAACTTCTAGAATTGTATTTTATTTGTTATTGTGGTGTACAAATCTGTACATATCCAGGTTTTTCATCTATTCGGTAAATATCCAACAAGTTGTGTGTAATAAAATTTGTAAAGATGCATTTTGGGTTCGAATTTGGACTCTGATAAATAACAATAAAAGTTCCTTATGAACAATCTTGGAGATTTTTTTAGAGTTTCCAAAGCCCAAACCCGTACCAAAACGGTCGCTTTTTCAATTGCAGGATGGTGGTGTTGCCACGTGTAACTTATCTCCGCATACATAACCATAACTGGCGTTTTTAATGTTTCTGAATCAGTTCATGGAGTTTTCTGTTGCCACAACCCCCTTCAAAAAACATTTTTAAAGAAAACCCCGTACAGAAAAAGAATACAAGAGGGAAATGGAGCTAGCATCAAAATCAATGATTTCAAATTCCAAATTCTCCATACTAAATCCAAGAATCCCAAGTGGTAGAACCCAGATTGCTTCTTCAGTAAAATTTCCCACTACCCTAATCAAGAAAAACACAGAGGCTAGCTCTGGAGCCACAATGCCAACCATGTCTGAGATATTGGCCTCATCAAGAGCCCAAAACCTTGACCTTCAGCTCCAAACTCTAGGACCCTTTTTCAGAATCACAGCCAAGAGCTTGGAGACACAGAAGGAGCTTGGCAAGGCTGAGGGACTGATAAGGTTCTGGCTGAGTGGGAAAATCCTTCACTTGGAGTCAATCAGATTACAGAGAGAGACACTGGGGATGGAGAAGTCAATCTTTGGCATTGGCTTGTTCATTGGAGCTGTTGCCATTCGATACGGCTACGATTGTGGTTGCAGAACAGCTGAGTTGCTTGCCATCAATGACTCTGACATTTTCCACCACAAGGTTCTTTCTTTGGTTTCCTTATCATGTTTCTTCTGGTTTTATGCTGTTATTGGATGCTATAGCACTTTTTTCAGCCTTTAATTTTAATTCTCTGTACATCAATGGTGAAGCCTCTCATTTGCCTAAATTTCCAAGTATCCTTTATTTTGTGGATGAGATTGTTCTTTTAGTGATAAAGCTTGTTTTGAAGTGGATGGTAAGTGTACTTCTGGGAGCTAGTTTGTTGGTGTTTGGGGTGAAGATATTTGATGAGTTGCATTAAGGTTAAATAGCATTGTCAGAAATAAGTTGTAGAATTGATATGAGAAATGCACTGGACTGGATTACTTGACTTGATATTAAATCTGAACTGGTTGCTTATTTACTTTTCAGCTTGTCAGGTTCTATTCAAGAATCGGATTCAAGGCTGTGCATGAAGTAACTGGTTCGACGTTTGGAGACTACGCCCACATGTTGGTCTGGGGAGGAATCGGGACCAGAATGGATGCCAGTGTTGAAGCACTACTAATCAAATGGTGCACCAGGTTCAAATCTGGAAAGTGATTCGACCACAATCGATTGTTTGAGTTGTTTCTAATACATGCAAATTGCTGAATGTGATGGCTGGAACTTTGTACTGAAATGGAAGTGCTGTCTGAGCAATAAACATCAGTTTTCTTCAGCTGGTGTATTGATCTGAAGCAGAAGCACTGTTTTAGCCCCTTGGCTTCCATGTAGCCTAACTTGATGAGAAAGTTTTTGTGTTTCCCGGAGCTTCCCGCTGCCGTTCAATTCTGGGCTTGAACTAGATAATCAGACAAAAAAAGAAAAACTGGATGCTCTAAAGTATTTGTATGATGGTGCCAAGGCTCACATGAGGGGTACAATAAGTTCCAAGCCGCTGGCGATGCAAGAGTAGTTTAGATTTGATTGTAAGTGACTTCCTTTTTATATAAGAGTTTACAATTGTCTTTAAAATAATATGCATATTGCTTTAAAACACTAGTAGTAGAGCTGTTGAATCAGCAACTTTCTTGACTTGACAAAATCATAGAGATCTATTTGTGATGTCGCCCAACTGACAAATTATCAGCTGGGGGACAAAGAAATTGCTCCAGTGGCATATGAAAATTGAGAAATCATTTAAAGAACAAGAGAAAGTGCCAACCCAATTTTAGGAATCTTGTCAAGTGCCTTGGTGTTGAATTCACCAGATATAGCCAGGCATGACTTGGGTCTAACATTGTACCGTAGAACAGTCTTAAATTCTCCGTGATCGTCAAGTCTAGCTTTCACTACTGTTTGATGATCAACAGCATATGATCCCCCAACTGTCAAGGTGTTTCTCTTTGTTGACAGCTTTTGAGTGAACTCTACCACTGCTGCATGCTTCTTTTCTTTATCGAGATAAAGAACACATGATGCTGTTAGCAAGTCACCTTTGTTTGCCCTAAAAAATTTCACAACAGTAGGATATTAGTTTCATACTTTTCCCTTAGCACGGTGACATATGACTGTAATTCAAATCTGCACTTTGGCCTCCACAAAACTTATTATATTTGTTAAAAAATCTAGTTAACTGAACTTAACTATCATAATAGTTGTAGAGGTTCTCCCATGAAATGCTGCAGTTAGTATCGGAACTGTAATTTGAACTTATTATTGAATTTCTTTTTATTAATGTCATGTTACTTCAAAATGAAAAGACCTACAGAATTATTGAAGCATCAGAATTGAGACTCTTCATGTAAATGCCTGCACTGCACTTGGAGAAACAGCTAGAAGCAGTTTTGTACTGTGTCTCCATACCAAGGGCAATGCTTGAACTCCCTACAGCTGCTGAAAATGTTATTGCAGGGGACTTGTTCAAAGCCATGGATGTGGACAGAGCAGCATATTCTTGGCGTATTCGAACCCGGAGCTGAAATCAAGATAGGTGAGTTGTTTTTTAGTTCAGAATAGAAATTATTGTCGTGCAGGATAAGATAGGGTGACTAGTCCGTGTCTCTTCAAAAAACAATACATTCAAAGGTTAAGTGGCAAGTAGAAATATGTGTCCCGAGGAAATGAGCGATTTCTGTCACATAAATTTTCTTTTTCCTGTCACAGATTTTCTAACTAGAGCACCAATTCTTGTAGTGTTTCAAACCAAAAATGTCTCAAATAAAGGTTGGCAGAAGCTAGAAAGCTATTGTCCTCACAGTAGAAATTCTGAATTAGCAGTGACAATTTTCAATTTGTTTGAACTTTCTCACTAGTGATCAGCTGAGCCAGTACAAAAAGGTAATCATCTGAGCCATGATAAATTTTTAAGAGTTGTTTTCAGGTCAGAAGTAATCACAGCATGATTGAATATGTGTTCTTTTTTTTCCAGTATGCAATAATGAATGAAACCAAGTACCTTGCTTGATTGGTAATCAGGTAAGCTGAATGAAGCACTAGTCTTCGTGCTTGACAGAAACTTCTTATTTAAAGTGAGGGTTCCAGTAATCTGTCATAACAAGGGGAAATACAAAATGCTAAATACCAACGAAAAGATTGCAGAACTTTAAACTTTTGAGGTAACAGTAAGATTGTATACAGCCAAACCCACTTTTGAATCCGTATCAATTCGACAGTCAAAATTTGCATTCTTGTATGTGTATGCTCCTGCCACAGCTGCAGTTGAGCAACCTGGCTTCTTTGCCGCGGTTGAAGTAATTTTCTGAAAACAATCCAGAACATACTCAGTTTCTGTTTAACTGCTTGAAGGGAGTGACATGATAAGAACATACCACTCCACCATCACTGCGGGTTGTGAAGCTAAATTTCTGGCTCCTGGAATATCCACTGGTAAGCAAGTCTACCAAAAGAGGTAAGTTTACGACAAAACTCTAATAGGCTTCTTGCAATGCAAGACAAGAAAAATAGGACCATGTGTGTATTCAAAGTAAAGAAAACAAGAGAAAAAGAAACAAACATTGTTAGTGGGATATACAGAGAAAATCCACAAATCTTAAAGAGGAAAGAGATCCTACCCATTATTTTTCAGTAAGAGTTTAACAGATTAACATACATGAAAGACATAGAAATGTAGAGAAGAATTAAAGCGAGAACCTTTAGCTTTCTGACCAAACTCAGAGAAACATGGAGGTCCCTTGCTTGTGGGTTCGCTCTTGTTTTTGTGGTTAGACTTGCTCATTGTTCTTGGCGGAGACACCAATTGACCTTAGGAGACGACCAGAGCAAAAATAGAGAGTTCACAAAATTTTCCTGATCGACCTAACCAGACTTGTATAAATAAAAAAAATTCTTGGTTGACTTACTAGTTGGGGTTTCCAGTTGTCTTGTCAGAGCTCTGATTCTGTACTTTTGGTTTTGTCTCAATTGAGCAGAGGCTTCCGCGAATAAGGATTTTTCTCATTGTGCAGTGCAGACGTGGATGGCAGTTGGTTAGGGCGTTGAACCCATTGCATCTAAAATTGTTTAGTCATCTGATTATCTACATATTCGTTTTAATTTTATCTTTTTGCACATTTTAGATAACCAAACAACTTCAGGTCGAGATGATTTTCTCACAAGGATGATGTAAAATATAGATGTATTGATCACTTAAATACATTTTGGAGTAGCCTTAGAGCATCTCCAACCAATATATCAAATTGCCACATGAATATGAATGACAAAATTTGAAGGTTAAAGTTGCTCCAATCGAGTAGTCAAATCCTACATGAATTTGAAGGTGAAAAGAGATGTCAAAAATAACATATCAAAAAGCTTGATGTCAAATATTATTTTAATATTTTTTTGGTCATAGACCTCACTATCATTTACTCTCTTTTAAAACTTTATGCATCCTTTTGGCATTTCGGGTGAAGTTAAATTTTTTCCAAAGTGTCAAATTGCCACATAAGCTATCAAATTCAAATTGCATTTGACATCTCCCTCGGAGATATTCTAAGAAAGATATACCCTTTTCTTACAAAACCCTACCTCACTATCATTTAACTCGAACACGTTTCGTATGGCGATAGTTCTTCAGGAATACACCAGGAGAGCCTTCCTCCATGATCGGAGGAAGTTGCAGCGCTACCCACTCAAAAAAGTACCAAAAAGCCCCAAGTACAGAGAAAGAGATGACTGCGTGATTCTTTAAATCATAGCAAATGCTCGCCCCTAAGATAATGTTTGATTGGTATAGTGGTATTTTTCTTTGAAATGTTAGAAGAGGACTCATGTTTGAATCCTCTCACTCATGTTTGAGCCAAAAAGCCAATGGGGCCCTGGCCCCACTAACAATCTGATCCTGCGGTCAAAATCGCATCTCTCACGCAAAATACAAACACCCGCAACTGATACGAAGCAACCCTAAGCTACGCTTCTCTGCCCACACTTCCAGTGATTCAGTCCTCTCTCTCTCTCTCTCTCTCACTCTCTCTCTCTCTATCTCTTCCCCAATACCCACAACCCTATGTCGCGACGAGACAGTCGGGATTCCGACTCAAGACGACATCGTTCCAGATTTGACAGAGAACCCAGGTATCATTTGTCTCTGTATAACATGCGTGTGTGAATCAAATTTGGGACTTAAATGGGTTTAAGGATTTAATGCATTAAAACTGAGTTACTGCTCTAAAAGCTGTAGTGTTTTAGTGAATTTGAACTATGATGGTATTAACAAAACTTTTTATTCTGCGTTATTTTCTCTTTCAGTTTTGGCTTTATCAATTTATATGAGATGGATGAAGAACATTGGAGATTTTCAATAATAAAAAATTGAAAATATGTGAATTTAAGCTTGTATTTTTATGTGTTTTGTTAGATTTTAGAAGAAAAAAGATGTGGCCATAAATAATGCAAATCTTTCATTTTTATGCGTATTTTGATTAAAAGATTCTAGCTTTATGTGGTAAGGCTCTGCTTAAGTCTTCATTTAAGTTTGGGTTTGAAAGAGGTTATTTAAAAGTTGATTTGTCTCTGGTAAATGTCTGTAACATGGTTATAATGAGATAAGAATAGTTTGTTTTCAAGTAGAATGTCATTCTTAATGATTTTCATGGGTTTCCTTAGTCCTAAGAGGTCTAGGAGGGATGCAAAAGACGAAAAAGAGAGAGTCACCAGCAAAAGTAATTCGGAAAGTGCAAAGCAGTCTGACCAGGATCAGAAGCACCAGCCCAGGCTGCAAGATACATTGCCACTTGAATCCCCATTAGCAACTGACTCGAGGGTTGAAAATGGGGCATCCAGAAAAGATTCTGATAAGAAACCCAGTGGACATCTAGAAGGAACCAAACTCTCTTCTGATCCAACTGATGTACCCCGGTCGCGATCTTATTTTCAGGTAGGGTATAGATTTATGAATCTCATCAACTTGTTTTGCTTTTATTGTATAATGATGAGCTAATCTCTAGCACGCATATCATCTTCCGAATCCTGTGTTTCTAGGATTCTGATTCTACGTGTAGATCATCTTGTAAAATACTTATTGCTGAAGATATTTTAGCTTAGTGATAATAATTGTACTGTCTTGCAAAATTGTAAGTTACTGAATTGCAACTTGTGTTTATTTGTGTTTTTTGGGCTGTGTCTAACTTCAGAGTCTATGACAGGGGAAACCGTCTTCTGTATTTAATGTGTCCTTAGTCTGTATGCAGTAGGAACTGCCATAGGAGCTCATCCATTACATTCCAAAGTTGTGTGCGTATTTTTCCTCAGTTTAGAGCAATTTAGGAGGCTTAAAGTTGTTCACTTACATTTATGTGGGTTTATCATTAGGCATTAGCAGGTTGTAGTAAGTGATTGTTATTACTCTACATTTTATTATGTGGTTTAAGTGATTAACTTTTTCATCAAAATTAAAATATTTCTTACTAGATGAGTAGGCAGAACTGGACAAGAAACTACTGTAATTTTATTACGTTTCCTTTCAATTGAATTATAAGACATGCACAGGCAAGTCTAATATTGTTATATACAAGTATGAACTTGAAGGAATAGGACCGATCAAGAATCCCACTACATCAGCCCAGAAAAAAAGTTTTCATACACTGGATAGCAACCATATGAGTAAACTCAACAAAATTTCAGGTTTTCTAAGTCATGGTGGAAATAAGGTTTAAGCATGTCTTCCAAAAGTGTTTCATGTCAATTCAATTGAAAGGAAATGTAATGAAATTACAGTAGTTTCTTGTCCAGTTCTGCCTACTCATCTAGTAAGAAATATTTTACTTTTGATGAAAAAGTTAATCCCTTAAACCACATAATAAAATGTAGAGTAATAATAATCACTTACTACAACCTGCTAATGCCTAACGATAAACCCACATAAATGTAAGTGAACAACTTTAAGCCTCCTAAATTGCTCTAAACTGAGGAAAAATACGCACACAACTTCGGAATGTAATGGATGAGCTCCTATGGCAGTTCCTACTGCATACAGACTAAGGACACATTAAATACAAAAGACGGTTTCCCCTGTCATAGACTCTGAAGTTAGACACAGCCCAAAAAAACACAAGTTGCAATTCAGTAACTTACAATTTTGCAAGACAGTACAATTATTATCACTAAGCTAAAATATCTTCAGCAATAAGTATTTTACAGGATGATCTACACATAGAATCAGAATCCTAGAAACACAGGATTCGGAAGATGATATGCGTGCCAGAGATTAGCACTTCCGAATCCTGTGTTTCTAGGATTCTGATTCTATGTGTAGATCATCTTGTAAAATACTTATTGCTGAAGATATTTTAGCTTAGTGATAATAATTGTACTGTCTTGCAAAATTGTAAGTTACTGAATTGCAACTTGTGTTTTTTGGGCTGTGTCTAACTTCAGAGTCTATGAACCGTCTTCTGTATTTAATGTGTCCTTAGTCTGTATGCAGTAGGAGCTCATCCATTACATTCCAAAGTTGTGTGCGTATTTTTCCTCAGTTTAGAGCAATTTAGGAGGCATAAAGTTGTTCACTTACATTTTTGTGGGTTTATTGCTAGGCATTAGCAGGTTGTAGTAAGTGATTGTTATTACTCTACATTTTATTATGTGGTTTAAGTGATTAACTTTTTCATCAAAAGTAAAATAATTCTTACTAGATGAGTAGGCAGAACTGGACAAGAAACTACTGTAATTTTATTACGTTTCCTTTCAATTGAATTGACATGAAACACTTTTGGAAGACATGCTTAAACCTTATTTCCACCATGACTTGGAAAACCTGAAATTCTGTTGAGTTTACTCATATGGTTGCTATCCAGTGTATGAAAACTTTTTTTCTGGGCTGATGTAGTGGGATTCTTGATCGGTCCTATTCCTTCAAGTTCATCCTTGTATATAACAATATTAGACTTGCCTGTGCATGTCTTATAGCAGCACGATGAGCGTGGTAATGCCAGGCAAGTTGATCGAAGCTCTCGTCGTGGTTCAGCTGCCGGTGAGATCTCTTATCTTAATTTTTTATTCGATTATTAATCACCATTCCTTTTCACATGTTAAAATTTACATATCATACTGAAGAAAAAAGAAAGGGAAAACCCTTTCTTTTCCAGGTTCATGCTATTTTTCATCATAATCTATGCAATGTATGTATTTTATTTTTCTTGGGTTGGAAAATATCATTTGCAGTATCAGTAGCGTAATTTACTTTTCCTGTTCTATTTTAGAACGTGGATCGTGGAGGGATTCCAAGGATAGGCATGATGATAGGACAGTGAGCAAGACAACAACTAATGATTCACGGCCAAGAAATGAGAAACCCAAGGGGGATGAAAACAGGACCAGGCGCCATAATGGGTTCTTTGAAATGGAGGCTAATCCACCACCGGAAAGGAAAAGACCTGCATTCAGGGAGAAGAAGATTCCACTGGAGTCTGAAAATGATGACAAAACAACTGCAGAGACTGCAAAGTCAAACCTTCCTGATGCAGAAGGAAGTAGAAAAAGGGAGGAAAGAGGCAACAACCCACGCCACTTGGATAGATCTGAGAAGCAATTTGCAGGAGAGAGGTTGCCTTACAGGGGAGAGGCACAGCGGGGTTCCTTTCCTTCGAGAGAAAGGTGCACTGATGGTGCCAGCCGCAAC